ACAGCTATGCACCGTTCCAATGCATGCCCGCCGTTGACAGCATAAGTATTGGTAAAAAAGCTGATCACCACTGTTTTGTTTGTCTTCCTCCAGGTGCACACCATTTTAGAATTTGGTTCTGTTCATCTAATTGTATTTCGTTCTGGACCTTCTTTCGTGGAGCGATTATCCTAATTGTGGTGTGCGAGATTAAACTTAAGTATTCAGCTGCCGGGTATTGCAAGTTTAGTGCAGGCAATACTAAGCAAAACGCCGGTGAAGTGCCTTCAGAAAAACAAGGACCATGCTGCCATTGCATAGGGAAAGGCATTAGCTTGTTATAGCCGGCGTGGGATCTTTCGAGATAGTATAGCTTCGCTTGGCTCAAAAGATATTAGATCAAGAAACACTGAACGTGAGAGAGGTTGTGGTAACACACTCGTGTTACAATTCCTTGTCTAACATGAGTAAAACATTGTCTAACATGAGTAAAATTGCGGTTTGTTCTAATTGGAAGAAAAATTGGGGGTCTATAAGCTTCAAACTTGGGAGTTGAACGCGATAGGGATATACAGTGCGTACTTTAGCCACTTAGTGCATACTTTTTATTGTGTGATGTTACTAGAGAAGTTTAAAGTGTAGGTTACTACAATGTAATCGGTAAAGCCGACAGTGGCTTGTGTCAGTGAAGCATTCGCTATGGCTGCAATTTTTGGTTATGGTTAGTGTTGTGTCGGGGTTGGCTGTGGCCGCGACGTCGACGAAGAAGAACGAAGGCCGCAGCAGACCAACGCAGCTGGCGGCAGCCACCCACGACTTCGATGCGCAGCGCCGAAGGAAGAAGCACGGCCGTCTCGCACAAGGCTTTGTCACCAACTACTTTATTTACACATATATACATATGGTACATAACACTGCCACACTATGCGCTACATGACATCGACACCAAAACTGAAACTAAACGAGCAGCCGCTGAAAGTGCCTTCAGGTAAACAAAGAAAATGCTGCCGTTGCACAGAGAAAGTCATTAGCTTGTAATAGCCAGCGTGAGATCTTTCGAGATAGTATTGCTTTGCTTTGCTCAAAAAATATTACATCAGCAAAATTGTACGTTAGAGAGGTTTAGGTAACGCTCAAGTTCCAATACCTTAGGCTGCAATTTTGCTCTTACAGGAGTAAAATTGCGGTGTGTTCTAACAGGAAGAAAAATTGGGAGAGAATAAGCTTCAAGCTTAGGAGTTGAACGTAATAGAGATATCCAGTGCGTACTTCAGCCGCTTAGTGCATACCATGGTTGCCATTCCGGAAGCTGGAAAACCTCCAGGAAATATCGCACAGATGCGTCCGATAGCTCTCACGTCAACATTGGGCAAACTGACAAAGCGTATGCTAGCGACACGCATTACGTGGTGGCTCGAGAGATACTCCTGGTATCATTCTGGCCAAATTGGGTTCCGTGCACATCTGGGCACTGAGGATGGCTTTGCCTACCTCTCATCCATGGTTCTCGTTGGATGTCGATCTCGACGTATTCTCACCATTCTGTCTATGAACATCTGTAAAGCATATGATAGTGTTGGTCATTGTGGAAATTCACCACTCCCTCAATTTCCCCGTAGAGGGTGCGCGTTCGCTAAAGCCTTTCTTCACTATTGCAGCTCTTACATTCGCCTAGCTAGTCAGCCAGTTGGAAAGCTTGTGTCCCACAGGGATCTGTGCCCGCACCAGTTCTTTTTAACGTGGCCCTCCTCCCACTGGCATGGAAGCTAGCAGTAATACACCACGCAAAATACATAATGTATGCAGACGACATCACTCTTTGGACTGTGCACCCAGAAATCAGCTGTCAAGAACAATCGTTGCAAGAGGCACTCGACATAACCCTCAACTGGTGCATTCAGATTGGTCTCGAAATCTCCAAAGAAAAAACGAAGCCCATGTCAGTTGCGAACAAGTATGGACGTCGTAAACTTAAAGTCCGGCCTCTGCAGTTAATTTTGAATCAGCAGCCACCACTCGGAGCCACAGATCTGCGCGTGCTTGGCATGAAAATTCACGCCACCGGATCTGCAGGACCTTGGGTCAAGAGTGCCAAGTAGCGGACATAAGAAACATTGCATCTCATACGAAGGATAGCGAAGAAATCTGGTGGTGCTACTTCCAACATGGCTCACCCCCTTGTCTGTGCGATATTGCAGCCAAGACTCATTTACCGTGCTCAGTTTCATCACCTCACGCTGGCAGAGTGGGCACGTCTAGAGGCAATCAACAACGAAGCCATGCTCGCCATAACTACTCTGCCATGCATCACTCCACTGACAGTACTTCAGCAAGAGTCCCGACTAAACACAATCGATGAGTCAGTGCATCAGCATCGCTTTGCGCGCAACGTCAAGCCATCAACGTTGTGTTAGGCTGCTGCATTGGCACGGTACATGGGCAAGGAAGTTCACCACAGACCTTCACAGACGACTATAATGCCCCGTTGGAACAAAATGTAACTGACTGAAAACAAACCGCTTGGTCATCTTTACAGCCTGGTTTCACGCCAGGCGAACGCCCAAGTGTCCCGTCTGTTTCGTACAGATAACCTAGATGCTGCTACTATTGTTTATACGGATGCCAGTGTGAGCGGCACCATCTTTCATACCGCGCTTGTATGTCCATTAATACCAGAGGCTGGCCAGACATGCTCATATTTTGCGGATCCTGCAATACCGGCTCACCTTGCTGAGTTAGCCACCATTGTTCTGTTCAGTACACTGATTCACTGTAGTGACAAGCAGCCAAAACGTGTTGCCATAACTAAACGCAGTGATTGTTTATGTTAGAGGCACTAAAGCACATTACCACATATTGGCGTTTCTCCTTGAAAGTGCGTTTCTTTTCTCTGTAAAGTATGTTTTAGCTCGACTTTCATGAACATGAAACAGAAACATAGCACAATGTGTTCATTGATCGCGTGCCTATGTGTTCTCTTCTGCATTACTCTGAAGCTCTATCAAGATGACGTATTTTTCATGTAGGTGTAGGGATAACCATTTATGCACTTCAACCATTCTTCGCTTCAACACCTGAAGAGGCATCGCAAGGAGAAAAGACAACTGTGAACCTATCACCTTTGCGGAGGCACACAGCCAAAGCATTTTCAATTACCGCCTAAGCCGAGCCCATCGAGTGATAGAAAATGCATTTGGCATAATGGCTCAAAGATGGCGTATCCTGTGGCGTCCTTTCAATGCCAAAGATGATAACGTCCGGCGAGTCATCTCTGCATGCGTGGTCCTTCACAATTTCATGATGAAAGAGTCGGAGACATCTCAGTGCGCCTACTGCCCTCCAGAGACAGCTGATCAGGTTGACTGGCAGGGTAACATCACCGAAGGCAACTGGAGGGCTGATGACAACAGCTGTGCTGCTCTGCCACCTCTACCGAAGACTGCTTGCCACACCACAAGGTAAAGAAATTTTCATGTGGCAAGGTTCATGGTGGATCTAAAATTGCAAGCCATGCACTAGCATCAGCCGCTATAAAAGCTCGTTTATATGAGTGTCGTAATTTGCATTGCTCTGTTATAATATTTCACTGTCTGGAAATTTTTCTCCCAGGTTTGCTTACGAAATGCGGGACCTCCTGGCAAAGCACTTCATCACCAACGGCAAGGTGCCTTGGTAAGATAGCAAGATGATGGACACAAGACTTTACAGTGGTGAGTGCACCATTTATTGTTATCATGACAGTCATGCAGAGAAACAACCTGATCCTCTTTGCGATGTCTATGATGAAACACTAAACAGTGCTGCAAACGAGGAAAACAACTGCCACGATGTTGCAAAAAGTGTGCATTATGTTGCAGCACAAAACAGAAAAATACGTACCTCAGACAAAGATGAAAGCAAGAGGCGTTTGATATGCTGCATGTCCTGAGGTCTGCTCTTTAAATTCGCGATACATACCAAGCAACTTGCCCAACAGAATCAACTCCACTTACAAAGCTGAGACAAACCACTTGCTACATACACTTTGCATGCATATTGTTTTAGGGGCGAAGCTCCTTAGGGCGTGGGCTGTGCGTCCCCTGTAGCCTGTATGTAGCCACCTCTAGTTTAGTTCTTGCAGTGTTCACTAGATGGCGGTACCGTCCCCTGTATGTAGCCACCTCTAGTTTAGTTCTTGCAGTGTTCACTAGATGGCGGTACCGTCTCCTGTATGTAGCCACCTCTCGTTTAGTTCTTGTAGTGTTTACTAGATGGTGGTACTTGTAGCTGATGATGAAAAGATGCAAGATGTTATAAACTAGAAAGCGGTACTTGTAGTTGATGAAAGACGCAAGATCTTATAAAATAGGAATGATGTCACATATGGCGCGTCATTGGTTGAAGGCAATCGTTCAATTTAGTGCGGCGACGTACGCTAGGGGGAGCGATGTAATAAAATCGATTGGGCAAAATGTACAGAGGATTCATGGTTTACCAGGTTTACCTCCGGAGCTTCGCCCACTCATCATCATTCACTTCGTGGATATGGCAGAATTTTTTTGCCAATGAAATGCCATTCTTATGCCAGTATTTGCTTTACGACGAATATCGGCTACCATTGGCTTGCCAATATTCCACCGTTATTAATATGGGCTTTTTACTACTGGCGTTCCTTAGCAGGTAAACTTTACACTTCCAGAACTTGCCCCAGCAGCTTATAGCAGCCCCGTACGAGCTTCACGGTGTAGTATGCTTCAAGGCGACTGGCCACTGGATGACTAGTGTAGAAACACGATTCCACGAAATCATGCATTTTTGCCTTTTTTCTTCTATTGCCTATTACCCTACCCACATGTAAAGCATAAGACTGCACGAGTCTAGTTACTGTTTATTCTCCACACATTCCTCCTCAGTTTTGTGAGAAATTGTAACATAGGCTGTTACAACTTTCATCAAGTATTAGCTAAAAAACATTAACTAAAATAACTGCTCTGTGCAAATATTCCGCACACAAGCTATCTATAAATAAGAATACCAGAACACAATTTTCATAACTTTATTTTTAAATACACCAAGTCAAACCATTTATTTTTCAGTTCAGCTTTTCAAGTTACTGCTGTTCAGTAATGCACCACAAACTAGGAGGCGAGTTCAGCAAGGCTCTATTGGGCATAGGGCTGGCCAGGGCAGCAGAGGTGGGGCGATGATTTAGGGGCTGCAGCAAGAGATGAGGCAATGACGGTAGGCTTCCCAGGGTCCTGCAAGCAGCGATTGGGCAGGAAACCAACCATCACAGGCTGCCGCAGATCCCTGCTCTGAGGGGCAGTAGCGATCGGGCTGCAAATCTATAAACACATGTGTGAAGTGCCTTTCCTAACCTCCATCGAGGCCAACAAACTTCAACAGCCACGTCTTGATGAAACGCTGAGCTTTTTCAAACACCTGCATACGTGAATAAAAATAAACACCTCAAAATAAGTTCTAAGCACTGCAGTATATTATATATGCAAGCTAAAACAATGAAAAACAATGACAGCAGACATTATAATGAACTATCCAGATCAAATGCCATGTGGCCATTATGAAAAGAAATAAACAAATACTACAACAGTCACAGTGCAAAAAAAAAAAACTGCCACAGAGCAAAATATTTAGGAATAGGTTTCAATGAAAGTTGATTAAAACAAGCTTGTTTGAACAAAGCCGAAACGTCTTTGTTTTTATTTGACATTGGTCAGTGACCTGTTTTTTCAACAATGCCTTTACCTGACCAGACGGCATTCTGTCGAACTCTCGACTACGTGAGCATCCGCAAGCTTGTTTGACTAATTTAAAAATAAACACATGGTCTTTCATGATTTCTAAACATGACTTACAGGGTTGCAAGCCAGGTGAACTAGTCTGTAGCTATAGCCTATGGCTGTATAAATTTATAACAGGACAACAAGACACATGCCCGCACAAACTTTCAACTCTGGATTATTCTTGGGCACACATCAGCTAATACTGCACAAGAGGATGACTGACCACCAGATAGACAACACGAGATGAAATCTAGCAAACCCAATTTCAGCACTGACACTTGTGGATTATTTCAAGGCGCCTGTATTAATTTTAAAATGGTATCTCCAAATTCTAAGAAAGATGTGCTGATGTGGTTTGCTATGTTGTTCTTTTCGCATTAAATGAACCTCCGAAATTTCATGTGCTTTTTGAGACTTGCACTGATTCGAAGTCTTGGTTTTATAGGAGACCAGGACTGGATAGGTGGCTCACCAAAAAACAGCACTTGGCAGAGAGTCGCGATACAACTAAGCCATTCGTGCCCAGACGACTGGCTGCAGAGAGACCGCGAACTTGAGGCGCTGCCGTGCTTCATTTTGAAACGAACAACTCTAAAAGCCATTGGGCCAGTAATACTGCACTATGGTTAAAAAAAAAACTGTCTGAAGGCTACTCTCACATAAATAGCACTTGAAAACGGGCGAAGCTCTGCAAAGTGGACTGCATCTATGCATGTGGCATTGAAGAGACAGTGTTGTGCAGTGATGGCAACTCCCTCGTGATCATTTTCTGGTTGGGGATTTTGCGCTATGGTAGTACCGGTTTATATGCCTGTGCGGCGACGATACTACACTGCACACTTCTGTAGTAAAAAAAAACAAAACAAATAAGTAGTGGCTGCGTCATCACTTTTTTTTCTGGTGGCATATGTACATCTTGTCTGCGGTATGTATGTGCATGGACGTTGATCAAGCAAACCACTGTGACAGCATCGCACGGGTGGTGTCACGGTCTTATGCTTGATAGCGCGGGATAGATCTCCGACCACAATGGCTGCATTTAGATGGGGACGAAATAGAAAAAGAACAACTGTGAACCATAAGATATGTGCACATTGGAGAACCCCAAGCGGTCACAATCTTGGTATGCACCGTACAGTGTACCTCAGAATGATATCTTGTTGGTACATCAAAGCCTAGCAATTATAGATGTTGAACAAACATGTTCATTTTAGGCCGACACAGGCAAGTGGAAAAAACTGAAATTGCGTGTTAGGTGAACTAAACAACAAGTAAACATCGAAAACATTTGATCCTTCTTTAGCAACGCATAAATTCCGATGTTACTTAGCCACGTCAGCAAGTGAGAAGAACCCTTACCGAATCGGCTGGTTTCATAAAGCTAAGCTTTGATTAGTCCGCTCCTTTGTTCCTAAGAAAAATAAAGTAAAATAAAAACAAGAACCCTGTCTTTAGCACAAATTAAGTTAAACAGAGGCACTTGAGCATCGAGTTTTCACCGCCAGAGTATCTTTTATAACAGTTCAGAGGCGTATGAACGTGGCCCTGCACAAGTGTTGTGGGCAACGCAGCTTTCTTTTAGTCAACTGTTTACAAAAAAAAAAAAAGAAAGACTGCCTGCTTATCCTGCCTATCGTTTCGTTCACTACACGCAGTGGCATCAGATAGAGTTTGGTGGTGATGGTCAAATGGACGGACGCATGGAAACTTTGTTAGTCTTGAAGTTCACTACTCAACGCTCATCGGGCCAGATAAAAAAAAAGTTACAATGCCGTTTGTTGCATAATATGCTCGTTTCATTTCCGGCAAAACACCATTTAAACTAGACTGTTTGGCCTTGGTTTCCACTGGTGGCTGTCTTCACTATCGAATAAATATAGCAGACACGTGCCATCCGGTTTATAAATGAGCCAGACAGCACTAGAAAGGAGAGCGAGAGCAGAATTTTTCTCGGCTGACCACTTGAATGCAACGCTGCCTCATCTTTCTACGTTCTCCCTTTCCTCTATACGTCCTCCTTTTTACATACTGTTGCGCTTGAATACGCAGCAGTATTGCCAGTGCCCTTTGGTTTTTTTTTTCTTGAGAGAAATATATTCCCTTAGTGCACAGAGAACGTTTCAGAAGGAAGATATAGCATTGATTGATATGTGGGGTTTAACGTCCCAAAACCACCATATGATTGTGAGAGACGCCATAGTGGAGGGCTCCGGAAATTTCGACCACCTGGGGTTCTTTAACGTGCCCCCAAATCTGAGCACACGGGCCTGCACCATTTCTGCCTCCATCAGAAAAGGAAGATATAGCAGAGAGATAGAACAGAGCACGCACTTACAGCCAATTTTATTGCACAGATGGCGGGAATATATATATGGTCAAGAGGGCAAGGAGATCACGCACAGAAGAAAGGACAAATGATGGCGCATGCGCCAAACCACCTTATTCCAGTCTTAAAATAACAACTTGACTAAAAAGATACCTGTATTCCTTATCCGACAGATTAACAGGTATCTTTTCAGTTAAGTTGTCATTTCAAGATTGGAATAAGGTGGTCTAGCGCATGCACCATCATTTGTCCTTTATTCAGTGCGTGATCCCCTCGCTTTCTTGACTGTATATATATTCCTCCCATCTGTGCAATAAAATTGGCTGTAAGTGTAAAGTGTACGCTCTGTCCTATCTCTATGCTATATCTTCCCTCTGAAACATTCTCTGCACACTAAAGAGGTATATTTCTCTCAAAAAATTCAATACCAACCAGCCCAAGTAGCCACTCCTTTGGTTTTGTTACGGCGATGCACGCACGCACCATCTCTACCAGCCGCCACTCTCGTCTGCGGGAGCAGCTAAGAAGTGCGCGCTCTCACCACCAGGGTGTCCGTGGCAACTCCAACGCTGGTTCCCTATACTAGCAACGTTTACGTTTCGATGGTGCGGGTTCCGGAGAAAAAACCTTGGAGAAGGATAACTTCAACATAAAAAACTGTGAACCACCCCTTTACCTGGGATGAGAGACAGAAGTCAAACCTGACAGGCACATCATCAGCACTATAGGGAGGACCCTAAAAAACTGGAGATGGCAGGACTGTGAAGACGCAATTTTGTACACAACTGAATCCACTAGGCAAACAAGGTATCTTTGAAGTAAAACATCTTGATTGAGGAGGTACATGTATGAATAAATTTTCACACAACTGTGAGGTTGCTAGAACAGAAACCAGTTGTAGATAACTCAAATGAACTTTGAATTGTGTAACTTCATGCTAGCCTTTTTTTCCCAATCATATACAGGGAAGAACAACTTTGTAACAAACCTGCTCCACACGACGAAGATTCATTTGCCCCACCTCACCTCCCCACCTCAATAGAGCCATTTGTATTAAAAATGTGGATCAATAGAACACTCCGTAGTGGGAGAGAAGGTTTTATAAAGGTTCTGCCATTATTCATTTGCCTTTATACGATTCTCCAACAAGAAAAAAAAACATGAAAAATCCAAAGTGACCCTATTTCACGGTAGTACAGCCCTTCGACATCTAAGCTAAGTTCACTGCATGTCTTCGGATCATTTTGCCGCAGAAATATCTCGATAGCCCCTGAATTGGGCACTAGAAATGGATCATAATAACGCTACGCCATGCCTCAAAAAGAACTCATGACTGCTGTTAAGGCGCTACAACACGAGGTCAACAACATTGCCAAGTTCACGAAGTGATAGGACTAAAATGTCAGTGAACCTCTGATGTTTAACTTGAATAAAATCAAATATTGCTTCAAAGCAGTGTTTGCAGTGACTGCTGTTGCACCAGCAGTTGGCAATATTTTCTTAAAGGTACACTAAAGAGAACCAATGTCTCAATTTAGACTGACATGCTGCATACGAGACCTCTCATGCCACAAGTTAATTAATTATCAGTGGAAAAAATTAGGGTTGAAGTTTATTTTTTAATTTTGCGATGCTCAAACTTTGAAAATGTATTGTATTTTTGCAACATTGGCTTGATAAATATTTCTGAAACTTCGTATCTTAGGTCCATCACACCAACAGATGACAATGTACTTAATTTTGATGAATTAGTATTTACGTAAGACCCAGTACACGCTTTTGAAATTCATGATGTCGCGTGGTTTCGTCTCAAAAGATCAAAGCGGCCTCTCCACCCACATTTTCTTCTCGCGCGTTTTCTCACTTACCAAGCATCGTTTCGTAGTACAAGTGGTATTTCCTATATTGAGAAATTGTACTTGACTAGTACGTGAAAAATGTTTTTGGTTTTAGTGTCTATTAAAGGTGTACTGAGACAATTTTGAGACATCGCGAAAGGGACATTTTTAGTTTCCTCTGTACGCAAGTAGTATTACCACTTAGCAAACAATAGTCAGCCAGCATGCATGAGATAGTTACTCTGATTTTAAAGTTTTCGTTGCAGAGTATTGCCAAGCAATGGAGTGGACATTATCGTGATGAGTCAACTAGGTTCCTCCCCCACCCCCACCCCGAGTTTTCAAACGGAGCTTCCATGCAGCCTAAATCACAGAAATCACTGTCACGGTCAATTGGGACAATGCACTTATCGTTTATATGTACCACGAGCAGATCGCTTATCTGCTATTAGTACGTAG